GTAATTTTTACGGAATTGGGATTTGTACCATTTTGTTCAAAATTTAAAGGACTATAGCATACAAAATGTTTAAGAAAATTGTTTGGGCCATTTTCGAGAAAATCTGATTTCCCCGTTATTTTTATGGGGTTTTATGGGAAAATCAACATTAAAAATCAAAATTTAAAAATATAAAAAATAAATGCCTGGAGATACCATGGATTAGAACCTAGACATCAAATTTCATCAATATCAGGCCACAGGTGTAGTCCCTATAGCTCTGTGCACATCCAGACACACAGACACAACACGTACACACACGGTTATCACTTCGAAAACCACTTTTTTTGTGTCCAGGGGGGATCCAAAACGAATATATCCACTCAAACTCAAAAATGTTGGCGAAAACAATACTTTCTCCATATACTATGGTATAGAGGGAGAAAGTAAAAACCTATGAACTATGACTGTAGGCATCCGACAAAAGACCTCAATAAAGGTAATATAATGTAATTTTAACAATATTTATGTAAGAGTAGGTAGTTCAAATGATCAGCTGAAAATGCATTTTTCGCAGTTTTCAAACCCTCATCGTAGCAGCTTTGGCTATTAATACAACTAGACATTCCATCCCCATGTTCAAATTGTAGCCAGTTTTTCAACCAAAATCGTCGTAGTTGGTGTGAACCACCGATCGACAGATTGCGTTGATCTAAATATTACTGATATTTTTGTCGAATACACAATCGTTTTAACCAATTCAAACAAATGGAATGTGAGCTATAGCAAGCTGTTTCTATTATGGCTCATCAACTTGGCCAGCAACAAATATAGGGTAGAAAATAGAGTTTTAGTCACTAGCGCAATCTATGACTGGGACTGGCTCACACAAGTAGTACGTTCTTTTTAACAAAGAATTGGGTACAAGAGGTGGTCCATAGATGGAGACGTCTACTATCTACTTCAGTATCCAATAGTCAATATGCTAAAAATTATTTGTTGAGCACACATCTTCATATGTAGTGGTTTAAAAAAACAACTGATGTACACTGTATCATAGACTAAATATAACACAATGAGTATGTTAAACATCTTGTATCTATGAATGTACGTACGGACATGGACATGCTAAACGATAAGCAAAACACTATGACGAAGCTGGAGACCATCTCCGACTCTGAATATAAATGCGAGCCGATGTTGGTTTTAATGTAGGTATCCGTGTAGGCCTTTTTTAACAGAGGGCCAGGCTTACAAGTCACCATGGGATTGCATAGCAGCTAGAACAGATTGTGCACCCTCGTTCACAGGTCCTCATTCTCCGTCAAATCCCAGGTCCTTGGTGAACCGTGAGAGCCTTTTGACTATGGTAACCTGTTCTTCCCTTTGATCTCTCATCAATAGGCCAAGGGATCTCATACGCAGACCTTGTAGGGCTGGGCACATAAATATACCTTCACAGCTTCACAAGGTCTCTGGCTGGGGCAAGCCGTAGCGAGATTTCCCTGAAAGGACTCAGCTCCTGAACTTGCTTGACCAGCCAATCCTTTGTGGCTGCGTCAACACAGCCTCCACCTTTCATCCTGGAGGCTTCATTAGAGTCAGCTTTGGGTGTACCACCCTTGCCCTGCTTTTTCCCAGCATCCTAGTTCCGGGAGGAACTGGCTTTGCAGGGAGCAGAGTTAGGGTGCTTGGCAGCCCACAACAGCCTCCTCTCACTTCTGGATAGCACCTTTTCGCCTTTGGCTAAAGCATCCGCTATCCTCCGTCTTTGCAACTCACCCCTGGAAAGTCGTTTTTTGTACGAGGGATCTCATTAGCAGACCTTGTAGGGCTGGGCACATAAATATACCTTCACAGCTTTCACAAAAGGTCTCTGGGTGGGGCAAGCCGTAGCGAGATTTCCGTGAAAGGACTCAGCTCCTGAACTTGCTTGACCAGCCAATCCTTTGTGACTGCGTCAGCACAACCTCCACCTTTCTTCCTGGAGGCTTCATTAGAGTCAGCTTTGGGGGTACCACCCTTGCCCTGCTTTTTTCAGCAACCTAGTTCCCGGAGGAACTGGCTTTGCAGGGAGCAGAGTTAGGGTGCTTGGCAGCCCACACCAGCCTCCTCTCACTTCTGGATAGCACCTTTTCGCCTTTGGCTAAAGCATCCGCTATCCTCCATCTTTGCAACTCGCCCCTGGAAAGTCGTTTTTCGTTCCTTTCCGGTTTCTGCGAGCTTGTCGTCATCGACAGATTTCAGTAGACCTTCCTCCTCCATTTGGGTCAGATTGTCTACATTGTTCTCACGAATACCGGGTATCTAAGTCCACCTCCCCTGTGACCCGATTAGAGAGAGGTAAGGGTTGCGTACGACTGGGTTACCCCTGGTTCCCAGAAGGCTCCGTTAAGACACTGAATATTAGGCCCCCAGTGCCACAAGACTCTTAGCACGGATCGCATTACACCTTAGTCTAGGGCCTCCCTCACTTGGTTCTGTAGGTGGACCAACACCCAGTGGCAGAAGGTAGCTCTCCGCAGCTTAGAAGTGAGAGTTGGGGTTTAGGTTGTGGCCAATCTGCCGAAACAACCCCGCATGCGAGGTTTGGCCGAAACGGCGTGAAATTTTCTCCCACTCACTACAGCCCCATACCTTCCTCCGTGTAGGCCTACTATTCTTAAATTACGTCCAATCAGTCAGTATTTCTTAAAATTTTACGTTTAAACTTAATACCCATGACCAAAATTTTATATTTAGGTGGTATATTCCTGGGAAATTATGGTGATTTTGAGTTGGTTCATAATTTAAGTACGCAAAATATAGTCAGTGGTATTAGAGTCTCTTTTAAGAATAGGCTAATTCAGCCTGTGTACAGACTCCCCTTGATTTTTAGTAAATAATATATGTAAATATTATATAAATATTAGTAAATATTGGTAGTAAGAGCAGAGCCCAAATCTGGAGGTATACGAAAATGTGTGCTAAGTAAAAAAAAAGTTAACTGTAGTAGCCTATATGATAACTTTCTATTCGCTTTGTTCCATATTTATGTCATGTGTATAATATGTGTAAAATGGACTTCTCCGTCAACAAATGGATAAGCAAAAAAAAAAAAAATATTTAGAAAAAGAGTACAGTATACGGTCACGGCCGCATTTAACTCCAGGCCGCGGCCTTTGAAGTGGCAACGTCGCAAGTGGTGTTGTAACAGCTGTTTTGTTTAGAAGCAGGTAATGGTATTTACGAAAGATTGGTTACTGGACAATGACAATATTAACTCCGCTTAAAATGTACAGATATTGATTATTAATTCATATTGCTTCGGTTTTCAATTCTTTATATTTTATTTTCAATATTTTAGTAAATTTTATGTTCACAAATTAAAATTTAAATCAATAAAGTGCGAAATAATGAGCTGATGTCATTTGTCTGCCATGTTATCTCATGGGACGTCTCGACGTCTGTCACTAAACAACACTACTTGCGACGTTGCCAATTCTACCAAGCCGCGGCCTGTAGTTAAAGGTGGCCGTGATACTGTCCTTAAGTCTAGCCATGTCTCTCTCTGCATAGCTACGAGTAGAGCCTATCAAGTACTTCAAGAAAATGTATTATTTTTTTATTGGTCAAATTAAATTACTCTAAGTCCGCACAGGCTTGCTATATCAGGGGTATTAAAATTATTATTTTGCTCCGGTTAATTCTTAACTTACCATCATTGACATTGCTATATTAAGATTTGTTGTTGTAGCTATAACCTAATTACTTACTTGTATACTTGTATACTTGAATTCTTCATCTTTGACAGAACCAGTCTGATAGATTGCGTTATATTTATTAACTAGCTGTAACCCGCGGGCTTTGCCCCGTTTAACTTCTTAATTTTCAAGATGATCTCGTTTGCATGGCTCAATCACGTCCTGGTTGAAGTTCGTTCGCTACGCTCACTCACCTTTAGATTGGAGCTCGTTCGCTGCGCTCACTTGCCTTAAGGTTAGCTCGTTCGCTACGCTCACTTGCCTTCAGGTTAGCTCGTTCGCTACGCTAACTCGCCTCCAGGTTGAAGTTCGTTCGCTACGCTCACTCACCTTTTGGTTGCAAATTGGCAGTTGTCATAAATGTAAAAGAAATAATAGTGCTGCACCCTGTTGGCAATCCTTCTAACTTTAAAGCTATTGAACATCATAGAACAGAACCAACTTGTTTAATTGAAACAGCTGTTAAGATTCATTAATTCCATTTCTCATAAGGTTAACATGGGAAGCTCCAGAGCCACTGGGGCGGAGCCGATTGGACGGATCACGAAATTGATGGTGTATAAACCTATTCCATGACATTCTACACGTATGTACCAAGTTTCGTGGCAATCGGTTCAGCGGTGTCCGAGTTTATCACCCCCAAACAAACAAACAAACAAATATATATACAAACATCCTCTTTTATACTTATAGATGATAAAAATAAAAATATAATTAAAGAGGTTAGTGCTTCGTACTTCCCATAAAAGCATTTAATCTAACTTTCTCAATCTCAAGTTGTTGACTAAACTTTTTAAAACATACTCCCATTCATAGTAGTTTCTCAACTTTATGGCACAATATCTGAAGCTTATTTTATTGTTAGTTCTGTCCGTTCGGTCATAAATTTTAGTAGTTTTTTTCTCTGTGGCCCGGTGCACTGTAAGTAGGTAGAGAGGTGGTGTTTTGTTTACAATTTTTTTCTTGTTATTTCAATCATGAAATTAACCCAAAAATAATGTAAAGAATAAATCTAATCCTTGAATCTAATGAAAGTGAAGTGAGTTGCATATTTATATTTTACATTGCAGCTGCATGGTTTGGTTTTAACTATAAATGGAGGCTGAAAAACAGCTGATCGTTAATTGTTTCTAGCACTTGTTGATGTTGAGATCATGTGTGCGAAGGGAAGGACGGAGTTGTCTGCAACAAAAAACCAAAGCACAGACAATATAATACCAAAGTGTCACGTCACTGTGAAGTAGTGTGTGTGTGAGTGTGTCGTCGTCCCCGTCAGTTGAGTTGGTTTGGTTTGGTTCTTTGGTTGTAACACCAAACACCATACTTTAATAAACAAACAATCACAACTTGCACATTCTGTCTCTTGATAAGATACTAAATTTAGATAGCATATCAGTAGTAAAAGCAGAGGAACCTAGTAAGTTTAGGCCTAACCGTCATATCCTAGTGTTTTATTTTTTACGGAAAAATGAATAATATTGCAATTTTTGGTGGAACAGGAATGACCGGCTTGTGTGTTGTAAAGGCTGCTTTGGATAAAGGTATGGTAATAAATGAAACAGAAACAGTGAAACTTAATTATTTTCATTATAAGTTAGGCCCTTATTTAGCCTAAGTTAAGTTAGCTTAAAAGTAAAATAGCAATCACAAGAAAATCTGTTGAACAACATAAACTCATGTACATTTTAGCTGATTGGAAAATGCAAACCCCCTAAAACATATAGGCCTAGGCTAAGCTTACTTAAACAAGTTTATTTTTACTTCTCTTATGCAACTTGTGAGATAGGTTGCAGCTTCTAACCTACCTAAGAACTAAAACCTACTTAAAGTTACTTATACTTGAATACTTGTATTCTTAATCCTTGACTGACAATGTCATATAGATTGTGTCATGGTTGTATTAATAGTCAAAGGTCATGTCTTTAAAAATTTAAAGACTTTGATTTATTTCTTTAAATACTATAGTAAAACTAATAGGCCTATTTAAGTTACAACTGGTGGTATTATTACAACCCTTTACTTCTTACACTAAAGCACTAAAGTTACGGCGCTTAGTTTATCTGTTGGTTCACTACTAAGCAATTGCTCCTAAACGTAAGGAACCAAACTGGTCCTAAGCATTCCTTTTTTTCTCGATGACATAACTTAAGTTAAATAATTAAGTTATACTTATCCAACCTAACTTAAATGTAGTTAGACCCACACTAAGTTCATTTACTTTGAGGTAAAATTTAACTTTTCAGTTTGTGGCCATAGCAAATGGTTAGAGCATTAACTTAGTTGAGATTTAATAACTGTTCTAGGCCTCAAAATCAAAGCTCTTCTCAGAGATCCTGCTAAACTACCCAAAGAGTATGAAGGAAAAGTTGAAGTGGTGCAAGGTGATGTCTTAAATGTTGAAGATGTGAAAAAGACATTAGAAGGGCAAGATGGCGTAATTGTTGTACTTGGAACACGTAACGATCTCAGTAAGTTTCTACATGTTAAAGAATCATTGTGAAGCGCATTATTATTATTATTATAATTTTTTTTTTTTTTTTGCAGAAGATAAGCGTCCAGTAACCGGACGTGGATTAGGCGTCCGGCAGTTAAGTTACTGTCATAACCTAACCTAACTAACCAAACTTGCTGAACTTAATGAAAAAATCTAATGAAGGTTAAATTCTGTTCATAAAATAAAATTATAAATGCTTCAAATTTTAACAAAATATGTAGGGCTAGAGTTAAGAAGAAATGGCATTCCAAGCTAAATCTTTGTCAAAAAGTTTCTACGATGGGATTCGATCTAGATACCACTTGAATGTCAGCCGAGTACTCTATCCACTACCCACAAACACCGATGGCTGTACATCGTATCGTTGTGGTAATGGTGTTCCGGGCCCCACAACCCGGTGACGTCACTGCCGGGCGCCTAATCCACGTTCGGTTACCAGACGCATATCCTCTGTGTATTTTTTTATATAGGCTATAATTTATAATAGTTTAAGTTAATAGCATCTATATACCTACATAATAATTTTATATAAAATCTAACTTATGATAGGTTAGGCTACACAAAACAAGATCAGGCCTAAATGTTGACATTTATGTGCAACTAACAAGTTGACGAAAACAAGGGAAATATCAGACAAGAAGAAATGTTGGTAATTCATTATGCGCTAAAACATTCTGTAAGGAACTAAGTTTTCTTCACTTTATACCCTGACTTTCCATTTAAAGCCTAGCTTTACCTAGATTATTTTACGCCACACTACTCTGTTTTAAAGAACTTCCCACACAAGGATTTAGTCCACAACAGCTGTTTGCTGCTAGTTTTTAAGGCCTATTTTGCTTGGAGCCATTGCAGGGATATTCACGAGGCGATAATCGCTCCACGATAGTTGCTGGGCACTGCTCTGGCGGAGTTTGCGTTGTCCTGTTTTGCTTGGAGCGACTATTGCAAGAGTCGCTAGCTACAGTCGCGGACCACTGCCCTGGGTACCAGTCTGAGCGATAATCGCGCCGCTACTGATGCACAGCGACACATGCGCAGAACCTCAAAACCCAGTTCACTGAGTAGGCACATTAACTAGGCATGCGGCCTCAGGTCCGCCAATTGAGCGGAGTAAGCAAGCTTTGATATAAACAAATAACTTTAACTTGTTTTCATGATTTAAATTGAATACATGATGACGTCACCATAGCAACAATCCAATTGAATTCTCGTGGTTGGTTGGAAGAGTTGAAGGAAATATGAATCCAGTCAGCTGTTTCTATTAGGTCATTGATTTTTACTTGTATCTATATATTAATTTGAACAGTATACATAAACAGTTCCCACACTCCGGACTACTCACCTTTACTACTTCCTTCACCGCTTCCTTCGTCGCGGACCATGTTTCCCTCCCTTCTCATAGCATTTTAGGATAACAGATACCTTAATCTAATCGTCATTGAATAGTTCCCACACTCCGGACTACTCGCCTTTACTACCTCCTTCACCACCTCCTACGCCGCGGACCTGTTTCCCTCCCTTCCCATAGCATTTAAGGATAACAGATACCTTAATCTAATCGTCATAAACAGTAACCACACTCCGGACTAATATTTACCACAAAACTAATAACAACAATTAAAAGAAATAGTCTGCTTGGAATAATTCAGTAAGGCCACCAGAAATTATGCGAATCGGTGTATTGTTAATCAACGCTTAAAGGTATTCATCGGACTCCTTTTCTTTTGTACTGTATTTTGTAAATAGGCCATATGTGCATGTGTAAGCTGAGTTGCCCGTGGGTACAGAATGTCGAGTCGCATACGCTACGATTCTTTGTTTACATCTACGTTGTTATCTCGTAACCATCATGGCAACACATAAGACTCATGTTAAATATTGCAAATTTTATGTCAGTCTTAAATTGTACAGGTATCATCAAATTGAAATATGTTTGTTTCGAAACATCAAAAATATTTGTCGAAATACCCCTGGTAAGTTTGGATTCAATATGTTCAGCCGTTATTGAGTTAATTGATTACATAGTTTGCATAAGGTCCGATCTCAAAGAGCTTCGCTCACTTCGCTCGCTCCGCTCAATAATTAGGTTAAAATGGCCATAATCTACTTTTTTGTTCACATTAATTTTTCTATTCATGTGCTGTTACGATTGTACTGTTTTGGATATTTATCCTTGGACATTAATTTCATTTTCTACATTAAATTGTGGAAGAAACAGGCGACTCTTTATTTCCAGAAAACTTTGCACTGTCATTGCTCAAATGGTTGTGTTTACATTTTTTAGGTAATCCTCGTCTATTCGAATTTAAATATAAAATGCTTGACTGTTCCAAGTTGACTAGATGTGTTATTTAGTTGTGGGTTTTAATACTCTATCAGTTCTTTGTAGGAATAAATATTTTTTATTTAGACTCCAAATTTTATTTTTCGACATTCATGTGATGACTCTTATTGATATCACTAATTTTTTTATTGATATAAATATAATACATTTTTTTATTGATATCACTACAGTTTTATATTTATATCCTATCTAGTGATACTTATCCGTCCCAAATCCTACATATCACTATGTATTTTCTATCGATCGTCTATTAATACTTCCACTAGGGTCAAGTAGAGCCTCGTCTTCTAACTCTTCCCTGAGGAGATACTTTAAAAAGTTACAACACACACTCATGACTTCACCATTCTGAGTGCTGGTATTCAACTAACTATGAAAATTGTGTGGCGACCGAAAATCAATCGCTTTAAGCACGGCCGCCGTAACAGCGTTAGTAGTTGAGCGATAATCCTGCAAATCGCTACAATCGCTCCAAGCAAAATTGGCCTTTATCAAATGTGGTTTCATTATGTACTACCATTGACTATACACAGAAATAGACTTCCCATGTAATGTAAAAATTTGAAGCCAAAAAAAGTGGTGCAATCTGTTGAGATGGTCACCAACTAATGACAATATTCTGTGTTAAGTGATAAATCAATCAGCTTTTTACTATGATACTGCATAGGTTTTAATTAATACTAGGTGAAACCCGTCGAAATCGACGGTTACTTTCAAGGCTTACGTTAATTCATCTAACTGCGATAAATTGGGTGAAATATACATATTTTGAGCATTTAGCATTGTTTAAAGGGTAATAAGTGTAAAAACAATAATGATTTTAATTATTGCGTTAGTCGCCAAATTTGGTTGATCATTCAATGATTAAAATATTTCCCATACCGTACGTCATCGGACTCATCGAAGTTATAATTAGTATGTTATATGATATCTCTTCCTTTGGAAGAACCTTTAAATAGTATTAGAATCGTATTGGTGGGTCTTTTGTAGTTAAACACTTCTATGATTTCATCAGTGTAAATATGATTTTATTTTAAAAGAAAATATTTTTTGGGAAGACATATTCTAACTTCAAAGGAAGGTATATCCGTTACAGTGTAAGTTTGATTTTTCCTTCGTCTGTTGCGTCAGTTCATATCGTACTTCTGTGCCAATGAACGAACCCTCTAGCATAGTTTTGAGAAATTTATTGTGTGGTTACTATTAAAGCTGGAATTCCTTGATATGGGGGATGTCAGTTGTCTCAGCCTTATCAATAACATAAAGTTGTCAAAATAATCTCTCTACGGAATGTTAGGTGTAGTGGAATACTTGAAGTGAAGTTGGCTTTTATTCTTGAACTGTTAGGGGCCTCCTTATTTATATGTTTATATGGTCTTGGCGGCTTCATTGGCAACAAATAATGCAAATGACATAGCAATGGGACATTTTGAAAAAGCAAAATACTGTAAATTGGCTGTTACGTATATATTGACATTTACATATTAGTAATCAATGTATCTTATAAAGGAATATGTGATCTAGTTTAAAGGAATATGAACTTTCTGTCATGACAGTAGCTGCTTAAATCGTATTTTCTCTTTGTACCATATTTTACAGCCAAAATGTAGTGTTATTTTCAAATGTTACCAACCCTGTGCGCCAAAGTCCGTAATATAGGCAGGTGCAAATAATCTGTCAAGATGGGTACTATTTTAGGCAAGGTTTCTATGTTTGGATTTTATTAGACACGATAAGAGCAGATATTTCTACATAAATATTTTATATGTGTAGAATAATATGATAAAATGTAGGCAAAAGTGGTGAAAAAGGCAGACACCAACCCGTACAATAGATATAAGATAGTTCAATAAGAAATCATTTAAGAATTGCTGTGATTAAAGGATTTTCCACTGATTTCGTAATGGAACGTTATATTGCAAAACATGACATGATAAAGAGGAAAATTAATTTTAAAATCAGAAAATAACATTGCAAATACTTATTTGGTACAATTCAGTAACTCCCAATAAATATGTGAAATACTATTTAAAATGAACAGCTGTTTTATTAAAAAGTATTATTCACATGGCCAAAATGTAAACAACTCTGTGGAGGGATCTTTAAAGGCTTCTGGGGCAGAGCCCTAAGGGATTTTGCTTAGTTTTTCTTTTGATAACTCATGTTCAGACCAAGACCTTTCTATGGACACCTCTACCAAGTTTCTACGCCCAACCGTTCTCTCAAATAAGGGGGGACAACGTTTCCAATTAAATATTTAAATTCCCCCATGTTAATCTTATGGGAGAAAATCCAACTTTGATGGCCTGTGGGGCAAAGCTCGAGGATTTTTATTACAGGAATTGGTGAAAGGGGGCGTCTACACAAAAAATTCTTTATTTAGACACGTCGTTTGTAAAAATCCGTCCATTATTAACGGAGGAGTAGTGTTTTGTAGAAATCGCCTTCACGTATTATATATAAGGATTCAATCCAATAGGCCTACTCTGGTGAGATGGTCCTGAACTTCATCTATTTTCTTGGTTTCAAACTTTCATATCACATGGGAAGTCTATTTCTGTGTATAGTCAATGGTACTACTGTAGGCTACTGTAATGACACCACTTTCCTAGGGAATATTTATCAATTTA